TCCAAAACCATACTCATGCTCCAAATTTCCACTCTTGTGGTATTTAAATTTTGAATATGTTTATGGTATGGGAGAACGGAGTATGAGTTTGAGCACAGAGTATATACTCAAAAGTTTTTATAACCTCCAGGCCTGGACCACTAGGTGACCTGACCTGACTGAGGCCGCGTAGCGGCCGAGGTCAGGTCAGGTCAGGTCAGTGAGTGGGCCAGGTCGAGGGTCCTTATTTTACCATGTTGAACTCATAAAGGGTAATCAATTGTTTTATTATACCGATATCAGTTGAGACAATTTTCGTAGGCTTAATTACTAGAATAATCAATTGTGTATATTAGACATACGAACTATTATTATCAGTGTTCCATCGGGATCGGGATTCGCTATTGAAGTTGTTTACTTTTCGCCTGCAAGTCTTGTAAGTTTTTGCACCACCGATTTATTAATGCACTCTGTGATTGTCAGTAACATGCATTTTTATAAATTCACAAATACCATTCCCGAGTACAATGACAATCTGGTGCAGACTTCTACTGTATAAGAGAGCCGAGTCTACATTCGTTGAATTTGACATTGTAGCGAGCGATAAATTTTATGACGTAACTAAAGGCCAAACGTACTCCGTATCATAAAATTTTTTTTTTTACATATTTTTATATCGGCATGTTTTGTAATGAACAATCATTACTGTATGCATAAATTTTTAATTTGAGTGGAATTTAGATTTACAGGTCATTTTTAGCGGTCATTATTTATAATGACCGGGTCATTATATCCCACGTGCAATGATTCCTAAGTCATTATTGCTGTAATTAGTACTTTTGGAGTCATTATTGAGATTAAAAGCCTTCTAACAAGCCAATCAAATTTGAGTATTCTTAATAGAAGTATAATAAACTATTTAAATCAACATTGATGCCATTGTTAAAAGTCAAACCACCGTTGAACTCGTGTGAAAACTAAACATGGCATAACGAAAATTGGTCACTAAAGGCACGTCACTGCATGTTAACAAAAACTATCTTGTTTGACCAAATGTTTGTTGAAATTTTCGGATCTTATGACAGAAATGATGTTTTAAATAGTCGTTGAAAAAATGCATACCATTCTAAATGTATTGTGATTTAATCTTTCCTCCTTGAATTTACCTATATGCTTATTTTTTTTTTCATTTTCGTCCTCTGCATTATGTATCTGCATCTATGTAATTGAACCTCTGACCAAAATTTATAAACTCTGTAATATTTTACATTGCCCATATGTACCAAATATTGTGGCGTCACAACATAAGTGAAAATTTGTCGGAAAAACCAAAAGCAAACAATTTATCTAATCATTCAAGCAAAATGTTTTCTAGTTTAATTTTGTAAAACTGACACTTATTTACTGAAAATCCTCACGAGTTACATTCAGTATGTTTGAATCAATATAACATGGCTATAGCTATGACAGATGACTTCCCCCCATTTACAATAAATGCATTGAGGCAGACAGATTTTCACGATCGACTATAGTGTGAATCGAAATATCTTCTTTACATGTTATTGACTTGTAAACCTAAATTGAATAATTATTTGTATAATATTTACATTTGCAAATGTTTTCTTTTATATAACACTATTAAAAGCAACGCGTATCTATATCCGTATAAACACGGGTTCCTCGCGTCATAAACGTTTCACGTAATTTCTCAGTGACGTCATAATGAGAAGACGCGCAATCAGTGGATCAAACACGTGCCGTTGGGTTTGAAAAAAAAACGTTTTAGGTGTTAAAGATTATAATCAGGCAAATATAAAATATGAATCAGTCACAAATGTAAATATAAGTAATAAGGTTTCATTTTAAAACATCTATCGGGCTATAAATACGAGTTTCGGGTACGAGGTCAAATTTACCATAAAGCCCTTCGGGCTTTATGGAATTTGATCTCGTGACCAACCCGTATTTATACCCGATAGATGTTTAAAAATGATACCTTATTTCTTAAATAAATTTATCCATGCCACTTACTCAAAACGTCTTGAAATTGTAATCACTTGATAAATCGATGTACTCACATAGATACACCTTATTAGATCTGTAATCTGTGTCTGAGCATGCTCCATACCGAAGGTCGCAGGGTATGTGGTCAATGTCATTGGCAACCGTGTTGAAAATGGGACAGTAATCTAGATCAGTATATACGAAACATTATCATCTTTTAGAGTAAGCAAATTGTCGCATTTATCTATAATTGTCATGAAACATCACAAAATGTCAACGACATCATTCAATGCTGTTTTATTGGAGTAACTGAATTTCTGAAAAGCTTTATCCGACATTATATCCTTATAATGAAAAATTGCAAAAATCTGCCAAATTTGTTTCGTATCACATTGTGTAAGTAGTGAACATTTAATAATCAATCATATGAAGAATCTGTTAAATAAATACAAGTCTGCAAATTCGTCTATAAAATTGTTTTCTCTAGCGATGTTGGATGTAATAAAGGAGAGAAAATAACTATATTGGTATATTTTTTATTTATTCTAGAGTTTGTTAATGTACTTAACCTGCAAAGCTGTTTCTATAGTCTCACGTACGGGTCTAAATTCAGGATATTTACTCTACCCATTATGAATTATGAATATATACATTGAGTGTATATAAAGGAATTCTTACTTTTTGACGCCCAGTTTGGTTTGACACAGATCTCCCCTGACATGTTGTACTGGTTACGGATACAATGATAAAACTCCGGATCTGGACAATTCCACTTCTTAAATTCCTCCCATTCATTAGTATTGAAGGGACACAGCTTTCCAGTTTGTAAGGGGGTGAATTGGTTTTTAGCCATTTTGTAGAAACACAACCTTACATTGTACAGATTCAAAATGAAACAAGATTAATGGTCATATGATATTTAGGTGCCCTTACTTCTTACAAGTGCAAATCATTTTCCATGTACAACCTTACGTCAATGTTACGCTTGATACGATTTCTTCACACATTTTTGTTCCTTTTTATAAATGTAATTCTTTAGACTTATTTTATATGCCATTCTACCAGAGCTACCAGAGGAAGCCGGATTTGTCCCTCACTCTCATAAAAAATTCAAATGATGTTTTCAACGTTTTAAACAAACCCCAAGTCTTGATTGTCTTATTGTTTACATTTTCAAAATGCTTTTCAAATTTATGTGTAAGAAAATGTTTTTACAAATATAATTTTATCATTCTCTTTTCATTTGGCCTCTCATTTTGAAACAAGCATTGCAACAGATGTTTTGTCAGATGAAGATGTGGTTGTGGCCGCCATTACCAATAAATAACAAAGTTGGAAACATTGATACTATTATTATTACATGGGTTAATAATTATAAATAGGAAAAACATTAATGAATAAATAAAAACTTTCAAAGACGGACCATAGCGCAAGAAAATCAGACTACCCTTAATACAAATATAATTATTTTAAATAATAAACAATAACATTTTAATAATAAACAAAGATGTCAACAAATTAAATAGAAATATAAAATATCTGTATATTGAAATAAAAAGCTAAATATGACACCCTTTAAAAAGTTCTGAATAATAATTATTAAATGGTGTATTTCATTTTCAATTTAATATTTTCATTATCAATTAAAGGATTTTGTATGCAATTACGTGCACTTATAGACAAGGTATAATTAATAGGTCATTCTGAAAACACATGTACCCGTGCTTGCACAGGTGAATGCCTAGATCTGACCACAATTAAGTCAATTTAGGACATGATCTTCCCCTCTTCCTTATGTACAAACGATTTTCTAAATTGTACAAACGAATTTCTAAATCACGCAAACAAAGGAGACGGGCGAACATAGCGTGCAGAAAGCCTATAGCTTTAGATATTTAAAATTCATGTTCAATTTGTGAATTTAGTATTTAGAGTAAAGTTCTAATTATTGAAATTTATGAATTTATGATAAACAAAGCTTTTCTGAGGAAAATTTTCTCAGCAAACTTTATTCTGTTATTAAAAAAATAAAATGGTATTCGTGGGTTCGAACCCTAGCAATAAAAATCCTGGATATCATTTTCTTTCAAGACTAGCACGCTAACCACTAGACAATAGAAAATGAGATAAGTTCTCCTTCAAAAATGCCTTCAAATTGTACATATTTTAAATATAACGCCAAGCGGATTGATACTTTTTGACGTAAATCATTGTGACATAGGCAACACAGAGTATACGATATAAACTTATTTGTTTATCCAATTAAATGACGCATTACAACCAAAATTTAATTATATACAGTTTAAACATTAATAAACAAACTGAGTTCATAACAATCTGTCTGTAGAGCAGTACCAGTCTAAGATTTATAACGATCTGTCTGTAGAGCAGTACCAGTCTAAGATTAATAACGATGTCTGTAGAGTAGTACCAGTCTAAGGTCCGTAACGATCTTTCTGTAGAGTAGTACCAGTCTAAGGTCCGTAACGATCTGTCTGTAGAGTAGTAACAGTCTTAAGGTCCATAAAGCTATGTCTGTAGAGCAATAACAGCGTAAGGTCCATAACGATCTGTCTGTAGAACAATAACAATCTAATGTTCATAACTGTCTGTAGAGCAGTATCAGTCTTACGTCCATAACGATCTGTCTGTAGAGTAGTAACAGTCTAAAATTTATAACGATCTGTCTGTAGAGCAATACCAGTCTAAGATTTATAACGATCTGTCTGTAGAGCAATACCAGTCTAAGATTTATAACGATCTGTCTGTAGAGTAGTAACAGTCTTAAGTCCATAACGATCTGTCTGTAGAGTATTAACATTCTAAGATTAATAACGATCTGTCTGTAGAGCAGTACCAGTCTAAGATTTATAGCGATCTGTCTGTAGAGTAGTAACAGTCTTAAGTCCATAACGATCTGTCTGTAGAGTATTAACAGTCTAAGATTTATAACGATCTGTCTGTAGAGCAGTACCAGTCTAAGATTTATAACGATCTGTCTGTATAGCAATTACAATTTAAGGTCCATAACGGATTTGTTTGTAGAACAATGGAATGTCACTTAATACAATGAAGACCACAATAAACATGAGGGTTCCCCATCCGAGGACGGAGCCGATGTTGGTTGATGACTTCCGTTCGTCCTTGGCACATGTCTTCCTCCTCAATGTTGAGGAAAGACTTTCCATTTTCACTTTCAGCTCCATCTTCAATTTGTCAATTCGATTCTTAAATACTACTGGATCTTTGATGATATTTTGGGTTCGTACCCTATCACATGGACATTTGCAACCTATGTAGAGTTCATAAAATGATTTTCACATCATTCATACTAAAAGATACATGTGTAATATGTAAAACTTTCTCTTGATTGTATTTTAGATACTTACGTTTACAAAAAGGCTTATCTCCTGTCCAACTGCCACTTCCGTTACAGAATCTAGTTAGATCACCGCCAGAGTGACAATGGTTTCTCCTACACGTGTAAGTCACATTAAAATCCTCAACATAGATTGGAGACGGACTTGTTTCACGAATAGTGGCAATGTTCTCATGGATAGGTTCCTGACAGGTGACTATTTAAAACCAATTAATCTTTATTCAATCATGTCAAAGCCTTACCTGTAACATGTTTATAAACACCATGGTCCAAGTACAAACAGTTTAATTCCTCTTTACACAGTTACAGATCCATATCAATAAATGAACTAATGTTTCCTTTCATTTACGTTTTGGTTGTTTGTTGTTAGAAAGATGTAAAGGAATTGAATAATTATTTTTAAAGGGATTAAGTGTCAAAAGATCAATCATTTCTTTTCCTTATTAAACATTGAATGATCAATGAAAACCTAACCATTGCAAACTGGAGGATTCCCGAACCACTGCCCCCTTCTCTGACACTGATGCGTTAGATTACCACGTGTCAGAACACGTCCTGCCTCACCATCGTAGACACGTGACTTCAGGAACGCAGTAAAGTTTTCTCTGACGTCACTCTGATATTGTACTTCCAAATCGTCTAACATATTATGCTTGAGAACTGCGTTTGTAAAGTTGTAATTTTTACATTTATCTACCAAATCACGCAAATTTAACGTGTAGAACGAAGGTTTTTCGAAAAGTTAGCGGACAGTGTCTATCTGCTTTAAACTATTTTCAAGCAATTCAAGATCAGCATATTACATGTATATGTATTCATTCCATGTGATAAAATGAATCTGGCGTTTAATTAACCTAATATTCATTTTTTTTCCTAAAATCAACGTTTTGTCATCAAGGAGCACACTTTAACAGCATTGTAACGTCAAAAACTTAACGTCATGAGTCTCTCAAATATACTGTAAAATCACTTATTTTCATTGGGTCAAAATTGCGAATTTTGATGGGAAAATATTGGTTTGTTGGAATTTGATTTCGTGGTTGAAGAAGTGTTGAGTAGTATTGTATATTAAATTTTACATTTCTTGTTGGAAATAAATTCGTGGGTCTCTTCATATCTCAAAAACGAAAATTAACCCCCCTTGAAATTAGTGATTTCACAGTATTCTCCTTAAACATAAGGTCTAGCACTACAAACACCATAAGCACTCATCAAAAAACGTTTCTTTGCCAATTAGAATTAATTTTGCTAAGAATTGTTTTAGCGACATGAGTTCCTTTGTCAGTGTTTTATTTTTTATTTACATGTTTTTATTTATTTATTTTTATGAGTAACGCTGCTTTCACAGAAACACTGAAAGTAATTAAAGGTTCATCTCTTTCCATGACGTAACTATTTTCAGATTTTTTTCCCCCTGATAATCCGTAACCGTGCATCGTCTGATACATAGTATCTACCACCCCAAAACCGTCCCTGCCATTTACAGACAAGTCCTCGGATCACTTGTGACATATTTCCTCTGCTTCCTCCAGCATTTTTAGAGTTCATTCTGGAGTTTTCCCGAGTGCAATATAGAATTGTTTAGCTAGTCGCTGCTCCGTGAGACCGTGACATTCTGTAACTTCACCTGTTTGCCTTTTTTTATGACATATCTTCTGAAATTGATTTCTTTTCAGCGAAGCAAAGTATTTAGGCATAATTTGTCGTATGAAATAATTTAACAAATCTTAATTTGAGAGTTGAGAATTTCCCCCTTTTGCACCATTTTACAGAGGTATGACTAATGATTTATTCAGTGTATTGTTTGAAAAGAATTAACTTTTGATGTGCTCCGTACCCCATTTTTGCAATATAAATCTCAATAAAGTTTGACATATATTATGATATATTTAGTGCAAATCATTCGAATTTATTCTTAGAACATGACAACCAAATTTAGATATAAAATGATTAAGTGAAAAAAGTTTGGACAGGAGTCCGCGAACTTTCTGAACAAGCCTTGTATACATATACCAAACATAAATCACTCTGACACTGATATCAGTTTCATGCGCGGATCTAGAGGGTGTCGGAGGGTGGGGGGGGCTTTCCTGGAATTTGCAGAGTAATGAAATGTATACCCTAAAGCAAATAAAAAACAACTACGTGGATTCCACCACCAACACGACGAATAAGTAGATTTCTTTTGAAGTTTGGGGATGGACTTAATCCAACCCTTTTTTTTTTGTCAAGAAATTTCTGGGTTGGAAATTTTTTGACTGCGGCGACCTCCCCTGGAAAAAAAATCCTGGATCCGCGCCTGAGTTTTCTTTACGTTTTGCAAAAATATTTGAAAAATTGAATCGAACTGAATGAAACAGAAGTATTCTTGATTTCATAAGATTCAAACAAAGGAATTTGTAAAAGTAAACCTTGCTCATTTTTTCTTGTGGGTATTAGGTTTGTAATTTGAAATTGAAACCTTTATATCCAAATCACCTTTTATCGCACAAATGTCAAAGAATTCTTTTCAAGAATGAGCTCTGTTTCTTCTTTTTATTAGCACAAATGAAAATCTACGAAATCCATTCCCTTATTTCTTTCTCTATTGATAATTCGATAATATGCAGGTAAAATGTTATATTTACTTACCTTGACAGTAGAAGCTGATTGATTTATCCTGAATGTTAGAGGTATTAATAGCACACTGGGGTTTTCCGTCACATTCTTTGAGTATTGAAACAAACTGTGACTTATCGAACTCCGACATATCCATTATGGACAGGTATTTACTATTACAAGTGAGCGCTAGAGATCCCGTGTTAAATACTACTGTAGTATTCCAAGTAACTGGAAAAAATATGTATATATACACTTCCAGTATTTATTTTGCCTCTTAATCAGAAATATGAGTAAACTCCTCTTATATCTTTACTGAAAAAAATAAGAGATATTCAAAAGCAACGACTCTGCCTTCAATAATTACTTCTTTAAAATATAGTGCCCCGCCCCAGCAAGATACGCCCGTCAAATATTGTTCAATTACCCTAAACAGTTTAGAGTGCAAGAAAATCATGTCAACAAAGATTTTAATGGTTTTTCCATTCCTTATAATGTTTGATTACATACATTTCCTGTGGTGTAGGTAATTAATTATAACAAATAATACATCATATATTTCTCAAATGGTTGTGTTAGAGCTGAACAAATGCCCATCTGCAGTTTATTGTATATTTTATGATTGATTGACAATGCTACAGCCCAATAAAACATCAAAACAAATTATGTTTATCCTTAAGACTATAAAATTGTCATCCTAGTGAGAATGTGACACTCTGCTTTTCTTGAAAAGAAATTAAAATTAAAATTAAAAAAAGTTATATTATACAAGATAAAATTAGTTTTCATTACTTTAACCAAATTTATTTTGAAAGTTAGGCTAGTGAAAATGCAAGAATTATTTAATCCAAGAGGCTTATTCCTAGCTTTGCTCAATTCCCAAGAGATATAGATATCACCTGCTTGATCAGAGATGCTCTTCCAGTTATCTCCTCATACTAAACTCGTCATTAATTTATCTCTAATTTGACATGCATTTTCTGATATTAAAATTCTCCTTGACCAGTGCTTGATAATAACACCCATAGGAGAAGTGGAATTTCTCTTATGAAATTACATTTGTTATAGTTGCTGTAAAGTATATGATGTTAAAAATTAGTATTTTCTTGATTTAACATTTTTTTAAATATGGATACTCTTACATATTTTGGGACGGTGTAATTTAAAAGTTAAGAAACACAGGTTTTTTTCCTTCAAATTTCACTTAAATGAAAGGTCACAGTGACCTTTGAGTAGAGTACGACACGCCTTCTACTTGAGATGCATTAATTGGCCAAGTTTGATACAATGTAGTTCCAGGTCTAATAATGGTATTAAAGTTATAAGCCGGACACGAAAAAGCTAACAGACAGCTAGACGGTCGGAAGGACATGAACGCCATAACATAATTTACAAAAGTGATATAAAACGTATTTCCAGTATTATAAAATCAATAAAACAGCTAATAATTGTTGTCAATACTACTAGATAGAAGTATTTCTACAGATAGACATCAAATAACTGAATGGTGAAGCTACCGAAATGGCGGGAATACACAATTGTGATAAGTGTATACATGACATTATTCAAAAGTTACAGATGCTTTTAACTATTAATCTTAGATAAAAATATATAATAATACACATTTAAATATAAGTACACACCTGTGGAGTCGCCCAAGTGGCTCAAAGTAGCTGACACTAGTCAACAGATAGAACAGCACATGGCTATCGGTACGTCATAAAGCAAGCTCCAGACAGCTCAGTATTACGTTACGATACAACTCCATATCATCGCTGCAACAGGCTTTTTGATGACCCCGTTGAACCGTGTTGACTGCGTGACGTCACAGTTAAATTAGCGCGGAAAATTTACAACTTTACTACAAAGGAACTCCGTAGATCTATTAACTTTTTTTCTTTAAAGATATGATTATGCGATTGAAAATTTATATCTCTTTTGCTGTTGATAGATTAAAATATTTAGCAAATCTCCTGATGTAAATCCTTTCCAAATTTTATGTATAAATATTTAATTTTACATGTTTATAAGCACGATATGATTTTGTTTTAAAACAAGTTGAGTTATCTACATGTATGTGCTTATTACAAAAAATTTAATTTGCATTGAATTTCAATTCATAAAAAAAAACATTAAGTCTATCATATCGAATATCTGAATCATAATCCTCTATCGTGTTCATGTTCTTCTTCGCCCTATAATTATAGTCCTGCTGGGCACGTTATTACTGGTGACGTAAATATAGTTAATAATGAGGACCTTAGATCACTAATTTTAAAAGGTCCTAAATTTAGGGAACCCAGATCCTTCAACTGGCGTGGAAATTTCATAAATATTATGGATTCTGTAGAGGACTACGCCAGGCGATGGGCCAGACATGAAAAAGAAGACCTTGACACTTTGTCAGAATGGATTAAATTTATCAGATGTATGTTAAAATCGCGCATTAAAAGATTGAGAGGCAATATGAAAACCATCTATCCTTCTGTATTCAATAATCCAGAAGTGAAAAAAGAATTAGATAGATTACATGATCAGTACGTACTGGTCCCTGCTGACAAAGCAGGTAACAACATTGTCTTTGTTTGTAAGGCTCATTATATTGAATGTATTTTAGAGGAACTTGGATTTAATTCTACAAGTGGTAATCCAACTTATACCCATATTTCCCTTTCTAAGTAAGAAATTCTCAAAATCAAATGTCAGTTTTGAAAATTTTTAATATTCCAAACAACCGAAATGAATTTGAATTACCATATTTATATTGGATTCCGAAACTTCATAAAAATCCTTACAAACAAAGATATATAGCGGGTTCCAGTAAATGTTCAACCAAGCCTCTATCTTTACTCCTCACTAAGATATTAACAGTGGTGAAGGAGAAACTTCAAAAGTACTGTGCAACAATATATTCGAGAAGTGGTGTAAATCAGATGTGGATACTTTAAAATTCCAAGGAACTTTTGGAAAATTTGAAATCACAAGATTTTACCAAAATCAACAGCTTAAAAACTTACGACTTTTCAACTTTATACACAACCATTCCCCACGATAAATTAAAGTCCAGGCTTTTTGATATCATTGACAGCTGCTTTTTCAATAAAAATGGAACTCGTACATATACTTACCTTGTCATTGGTCATTTACAAAATTATTTTGTTAAAAAACATTCTGATTGTACACACAAGTACTCTGAAGTTGACATTAAAAAATGCTTGAGTTTCTGATTGACAATATCTATGTGGTTTTTGGAGACAAGGTCTTCCAACAATCTATTGGAATTTCCATGGGTACCAATTGCGCCCCGTTATTAGCAGACCTTTTTTGTATTCATATAAAACAGAATTTGTCCAAAATCTTGTACGTGAAAAGAAGAAAAGACTTGCTGTGGCCTTCAACTCGACATTTAGATATGTCGACGACGTATTGTCAATTAACAATAGCTATTTCCATTCTTATGTCGATACGATATATCCTGGTGAACTTGATATAAAAGATACCACAGAGTCTGACACATCTGTTTCATATTTGGATATTTTACTTGAAAAAGACGTTAATGGTAATCTAACAACCAAGCTTTATGATAAACGTGATGACTTTAACTTTTCAATCGTCAACTTCCCTTACTTATGCAGCAATATACCTTCAACACCTGCATACGGGGTATATATCTCTCAGTTGATTTGATACGCAAGAGCATGCTCTACGTATGTACAATTTCAAAAACGAGGTAAATTATTGACAAATAAGTTGATGAAACAAGAATATCAGCCGTCTCGTTTAAAGTCATCATTTCGTAAGTTCTATGGTCGATACAATGACCTTGTCAGCAAATACAATTCATCATTGAGTCAAATGCTGACTGACGTTTTTCATACTAATTGTTAGGCCATTATTTACACACTGAATTGTCGACGGATTTTTCCGTTATTTTCCCGATCATGACAAGGAGCACACGGCGGGTGTGACCGGTCGGCAGGGGATGCTCACTCCTCCATGGCACCTGATCCCACCTCTGATATTTGGAGGTCCGTGTTTGCTCTGCTCCTATTTTTTATTGTTTAATGGACTTTGAGCTTGAATACTGTTCGTTATCTCTATATATTTCATTTACCACAATCAACATGGTACATGTAGCTTTTATGCAAACACGTTTGTTGAATCAGTAAATAAAGTGAAAAATTACACGTAATTGTACTTTGAAGTACTTTTAAATGAAATTATAAGATCCAAACTAACCATGTGTTGTTTTCCTAGTTTCGAATCATGAATTTTCAAAGTTTGAAAAATGTCGTTTTACGGGATGCAGTGAAAATACTATCAAAATAAATAATAAGCAAAGATATTCCATGAAAATTATGTCTATGAGATGGTTGATTTGATTTTAATAAAGCATATCACGAAATGTTTATCATTAAATGCAGAATTTTTCATACTGTTTAGTTTTTGAAAAAAAAATCATTTAAATCAACAAGTTATGTTAATATACTTTATGTAGAATTTTCTTGATGGCATATTTCAACAATTAGGAGATGGGCGAACATAGCGTGAAGAAAGCCTACAGCTTCAGATATATAAAAACCATGTTCACTTTGTGAATTTAGTCTTTAGAGTAAAGTTCTCATTATTGAAATTTAAGAAAAATTATCGTAAACAAAACTTTCCTGAGGAAAATTTTCTCGGCAAAATTTATTCTTTTATTTAAAAAAAATCAATGTGGTATTCGTGGGGTTCGAACCCTAGCAATAGAAATCCTGAGTATCATTTTCTTTCGAGACTAGCACGCTAACCACTAGACTACACAAGTCCTGATGAAGTATGGCATTTAAATCATGTTTGTGATATGACCCTTGACTTAATGGACTTCAAGTATTTCTCGAAAAGATGCGAATGTTATGTCATAAAAGTATATTTTTAAGGTATAGTGGGTCATTGCTCCATATTTTTCGTAACCAAAAATGTATATTTTTATGCAAACTTTGAGGATTAACTTTCAAAAAGGTGGAGCGAAGACCCACTCATATCGAAACATAGTATTATAATATGAGAAAATGACTCTTTTTTGCCCGCTTCAGTGTGTGTCTTATATTTCACAGGCAAATAATTTTAATCTTTATCTTGTCGCCATTCGTACAACCATAAAAAATATCA